ATATATTCTTTCTGCTACCACTATAACTGGAGCATACTAACTTTAGATTGATATGTATCTTAAAAGATAGTATCTCTTCCAAATCAGTTACTTTCCTTTTTTAAATAGATATGCTGTTTTTAGGATCTACTCTGCGACCACTTAATTTGTCAAAAGCTTTCTATGCTTTTTGAAACACTATTACAGAGTTTAAAGTCTTTGAAGCCTACACAATCTATTAGTATGAGGCTTTGGGCAATGTGGTCTAGTGGAGGGTGTCCCTGCCCGCAGCAGGGGGGGTTGGAACTAGATCATCTTTGAGGTCCCTTCCAACCCAAACCATTCTATGATTCTATTACTAAGGAAATCTCAGTATCCCGAGATGCTTTTCAAACTGGAAATGTTTGCTTCCTTAAGGGAATTGGTTTGATCTTAGAAATATTATTAATATTATTGCACGTTGCTGTCTTGTTACTTTTAAATTAGAGATGATTAAAAAGCCATAGTATTTGCTGCTGTGAGGATAATGTCTGTGTTCTCTCACTACTCTTAGATTTCTGGTGTGATAGCTGGGCTACATGCAAGTGAACTTAGCCCTCGTCAACTTAATGTTTGCTGCAAGCAAGTTGTTTTCAGCTAATAATTTAAATTTGGTATTTCTGGTCTTCATTTGGTGCTTTGTACAGTTTGTTTATGATGACTTTGTGCACTAGGAGTGAACATTGAGAATGAACTATTTGAGTTTTACTGAGATGTTATTGTTTATCACCAAGGGATAATCAATCTTTTTTATGATTCTTTGTTACTAAAGATGTAAATGGCTTTAAACTTGTGATTGTATGTATGTATGTGCTATATTCTGTTAGGTGCAGTTTTTAGTTGAATTTGCTATTTTACAGTGTTTGTCAATCACATACTCCCAAAGATCTTTTTCAAGCAATGGGGTAGTGTTTGTGCACGTAACTACAAATACAGTAAATGGACCAGGCAACTCAGGGGAACCTTCCTAAAAGATTCCTGTCGTTGGTAGGCATTTCTGGAGCTGGCAACACTGAAAACCATTCCTGTTCTGATCTAGTGTTAGCTGACTCTGAAAAAGATCTGATTTGAATCAAAATGCTGCCAGTTGTTAATGTCCCATGTATCTGAGAACTCCCAGTGTTGTGACTTGAGTGTGCCCAAATTAGGATTTGGAAATGGCAGGAAGCTCTTGCATATCTTGAATAAGAAAGATCTTAGGGGACTTCATACAGAAGATGAGGGGACACACCTGCTTGTCTTGGAGGCTTCTTTCACAGAGGCTGTATTTCTTCTTTATATATGGTGGCTACACTTAGGATATCCTTGTGTAGGAAAAGATGTCCATGCTACCAGTGCAGATTGTAGCAGTTACCTGCTTAGGCAGTAAGTTGTTAACAGGACTTGAGTGTTCAATAATATAGTGGTGGTTATAAATTCTTACATAAATGTTAATAACTAAGTAGCACTTTTGTGGAAAGTGAGCTTTCTGATTGCACACACAAACATAACAGTGGTTCTGTCACTGGATGGCTTGACATTTTGCTGTATTTTGAATGTGTAGTGAGAGATGTACAATATCCGTTCACTTTAGGTCGCCTCATAGCTGCAGTAAAGTAGGAGTCTGTAATGACCAAAGCACTAGTATGGAACTGCTACCACAAAAAAGTATGTTTAGAGAGCTACAAGATAAAAGTAGTTATTTAAAGGAGAGTCTGATGGGAAGGGAATGAGTACTGTCTTGAAGTTTGTGGAATACAGTCCAAGGCTCGGATAGGAAAGATGCATGAGGAAAAAAGAAAATTGCAAAGGCTAGGGAGGATAGAGAATTAGGACAGATTAGAGGAGAAGAGAGGGTGACAGGTTAAATAGTTTTGGATTGCCTGTGTGTGGTACATCCTAGAGTTTTGCATACATCTCAAGAGCCTTACATCACTGATCTGGGATTTTTTTTTTATCAGTGTTCTTGAATAAAGCTGTAATCTCCCTTATTGTTGTTTACTATCTTAAGTAGTGGAGGCTGATCTGAAGTTTCTGATTCTGTTCTTGCTCTCATACTGCTATACTACTGACAGAATTTGTCATGTGATACCTAGATGAATAATATCACTTTCTTTTATTTAAATTCTTAAATAACATGCAAAGTCTATGTTGAAACAAACTCTAAGTTGTGAAGTCAAGCAACTTGTAATTTCCAAGAATTGAGCTTGCCTATGCTTTGTTAATTAAGTTCTCTTGCTGCGCTTTATGATACCATCTTTAATTACATGACCACGTTAGTTTTCCCAAAGCTGCTTGCTTTACTTCATACACAGGACAGATCTGCGCAAAGGGTGAATCAGGGCTGTGCAGTGAAGGACACTTTTGCCTGGAGGAGCCTGCTGAACTTTTACAGACATGGGAAGATTTCTGTTTGAAGGAGAGGGCTGACAAAGAGAGAACTAGCAGGAAGTAGACAGGTGATCTGAAGAAAAGGTCAATTAAATATTCCTTGGCATTATTAGGTATGGTATTAGGTAAACTCCTTTGAACAGACTTTTTCTAAATGGTCTCTAACCATGCATCTTGTTTTCGGAATGTTTTTCGGTAGCAATGTTGAACACTCTGAGCTGCAAGCAAAAGTCACCAGAAGCTGTGCATTGAATATATAGTGGTAGCTACTTAAGTCAGTAACAATAAAACCAGACCAGATCCTAGGCCTCTGAAGTTGGGTTGCCTGCTACTTTGATGTCTGATTATTTATTTTTTTAAATTATTTTTTCTTCCCCCCCCCGTGCAGGAACATCAGTAATGTAGAAATAGCACTATTCATTTTTACGGGACTGTTTATGAAGTAGCAGTATAATGTTAGGTGCCCTCAAGTAAATGAGCATATGAACTGAAGTGCTGGGAAGGAGAGTGCTTGAAAGTGTAAGGCCAATGTGAGAAGTGTGAGTGGAGTTAGGGGGGCAAGGAGTAGAGAGACTTTGATAATATTTTATAAGGGATTACTTCCCTTCCCAGTGTTGGCTGGCTCTCATGAGCTAGTTCTCACTGGTTTTGCACAATGCTCTCCAGTGCCTCTGGTTCCAGGTGGTTTATTATCTAGGGGGTAGCTTGTATGGAGCACCAGCTTCATTCTGGAAGTAGTGTTACCCAAACATAAACCAGGATTTATGCTGGCTTCTCCGCACATGGAATGTTTTATCTGCAAAAAGGATGAACTAGATTGTATTAATTGTATTGCATGAGAATGTTTAGAAAATGCATAGGAAATGCATCTTATGTGCTGCAAGAAGCAAGGGTTGGGACGGAGCACGGAAACCCTGATCATGCAGTTGAATCTTGTTGAATCTTGAATATACGTATATAGATACAGGGGAATGCATAACCATCTGTTGCTTTTTACTTCAGAAACCTTAAAGTTATACCTTGTATATTTTTGAACATTTTGAAAATGACAAAAATCGGTGCTACTTTTGAGACAGGCTGTATGCTTTGCTGTGCTAACAGCTTCAAGAATATAAGCAGAGCACCCATGTAGGGAGCAGAGATGTTTGCTGTAGAGAAAAGATATTTATCTTTTAAGATATATGCAGGGAAATATCTACTATACTGGCAAAGAACTGCTATATGGGCTGTGGCAACTAATGGTACAAAAATTTCCTTGTGTATTTCATTAAGCCAATGAATGACCAGGGGCTCTGTAATCCTAATGAAGAGTGGAGAAAAGGAGAGGGCTTCAAAATGGAGTCTCTAATGAAAATAAAAATCTGCTATGATTTACATGAGCTGTTGTAGTGCATTTGTTGTCTTCCTAAACTCTTTGTATGTTGGTGTTGTGGAGATTTGGGGTTTTTTTGTTTTTGGTTGTTTGGGGTTTTTTTTGGTTTGGTTTTTGTTTGTTTGGTTAGGTTGGTGGTTTTCTTGGTTGGTTGGTTTTTGGGTGGGGGGTTTTGGTTTTTTTTTTTGGTTTTGCTATGGTCCAAACCTGAATTAAATTAAAAGCCTAGTTGGCCTGCAAAAAGGAGAATAAAAATGTAAAGCTTGTGGTGGGGGAAGAAAAAGGGGGGAGGGGGCAGGACTGTGTGATTTAGATATTGGTGCTTGAGGGAATAGTATGTTCTCTTAAGCCTCTCAAATATCTGGAAGATATCTGTCTTTGTTTCGCTTTAACTTTTCCCTGCAGGTGTGCAACTACTTTGATACTCAGGTATCTAGGATACTAAATAATGGATGAAAAGAATGCTTCAATGTTTGGTCTTATAGTCCTTTAATATGACATCTCAATTTATTTGACTTTGGATACATGAAGGCTTTATCTTTTACATCCTTTGGTTTTGGTTACTTTGGTATTGATACAGATGCATCCTTCTACCTGCATATGGTGTTCTACAGATGTTTCCAACTGTTTATGATATGCTTTCTGACAGAAAACTTTAGTATTTGTAATTATATCTACTAATGGAAATACTATTTTTAAAAAATATAGAAATAACGTACTTTTTTACTTGTATAGTCTATGCAACATTAGTTACTAAATAAATCTGAAAAGAGACATGGTCAGATGGCAAAAATGTCATAATGGAAAACTAAAAATGTAGTGACATATGCATAAAATGTTTACTGAATGAGCTGCCATTATGCTTATTTATTTCAGTAGCACCTTAATTCAGTCGCAGATCTCAAAAGTTTGAACATTAGAAACTATTATCATGAGGAAAAGTTTAAGATGTTCCCATATAACATGCTTTAAAAAAATTCCATCCTCAAACTGAATTAAAAGAAAAAAGGTTTTACTGTTCTCTTTAAGTATGTTCTTTTTTTTGTTATACAGTATAAGTTGATGTGCATAGGTATATGTGTGTTTTTGTTTTGTTTTGTTTTTTTAACAGATTTACATGGATACCAAAGCTCAAAACATATTAATCTCATCATGATGCTTGAACATATGTAGCTAACTACATGATTTTTCAAAAGAAATCCAGCATGGCCTAGTTGACTTGACCTTTGGAAAATTTATAATGTCCTCTGGAACCAGTATCAGCAAAAATCGGCAGGCTCCGAGCCTGCAGGGTGTTGACCCAGAAACATGCATGATAGTGTTTAGAACACACTGGGCACAGGTAATGTAAATTAGTTTTATTGATTTTGAAGTAAGCTGCATTAATAGGAGTTTGTTTCAGTCTTTCTTTTGGGAAAATCCCGAATTGCTCAGGAGCAAAAGTCTTTCATGCAGAATGTAGTAGATGACATTGAAACATTTTAAAACACAAAGGTAATTGACCTTTTAAGGTATGGCTAGCCTTTACTAATCACACTTTGAACTCAAGATTTGCATCTAAAAGGGAAGTGGTAGGACATAGTAATATCTTATGGAAGGCCTGGATCATCTTACTGGCTTTCCTAGTGATTCACTAGGACCTTGTTGCTTCCTTTCCTTGTGCTGAATAAGACTTGCCTGGCTTTTGGAAAGTATATTACATGCATGGTGCAAAGCTGTATGCAGTGTTGTTTATTATGGATAGATGTAGATTATGCACTTCAGTATATTCTAAATTGTTTGCATGTCATCAGGATTATAATTGCTTTTAGGCAAAGATGTTTTGCTCTTAGCACCATAATATAAGGTCTTATTTGCTGCAGTAATATGAATAACTAACGGGTTTTGGCTATCCTGAGAAGCAAGGCAGATGAATGCTGGTGTTTCTGAGATGTTTCCAGTGTCAGAGGAGCCATTGTTCAAGAGCCACCTTTTCTCATTTAACTCTAGTGATGCTGTCATGTTAGGGGAGCCACTGTTCCTTTATGGTTTTGCGGCAATTACCTTCCACAAAAGGGCTAGACAGTGGTTGTTTCACAGACAAGGAACTTCACTGATTGCATGCAGAACAAAATTTAATCCAGGGGTATAAGTGCTCAGATGACAATTGTTGCTCAATCCTAAATCTATACTGAATGTTGTAAGAGTTATGTGGGCGTCAGTGGCCATTTGGTATTATATAAGATGTGGCAAGGAAAGATCAACTCTGTGGGCTTCTGCCACTCTTAATACTACAAGTCATCTTAAGATACTGATACTTCTGAGCACAGTTACTCTGGCTGAAGAGCAGGCCCTCTGGTTTCAGTCCTTTCTGACAAAGAAACTTACAGCAAACATCACTGAAATTCAGTTTCTGAAGGCTAAGGGAACCTAGTTTATCCATACTTCAGAGAACCCCAAGTTTTCAGCAATAGTACAAGCGGCAGATTTAGGCGCTTATAAAAGCGAACAAAAGCATTACATTTTGGCCTTGTACGTGCCAAATATGAAACTTTCAAATTTAGAAAGCTTGACAGACAAAAACTAAAAACATAAAAAGTTTGGGCTTTTTATGTTAAGAATTTTGATGTTTTTTTATCCCTTTTAGGGATAAGTGCATACTTTAAAAAAATACATTCAAATAACTGATCTGCATTTGTTTCTCTTTAGGTTCTGAAAATCTTAGAGAAGCATGATCCTTTGAAAAACACTCAGGCAAAGTATGGGGCAATTTCACCTGATGAGGCCAGCACTGTTCAGAATTATGTAGAGCACATGCTTTTCTTGTTAATTGAAGAGCAAGCAAAGGATGCTTCAATGGGGCCTATTCTGGAGTTTGTGGTCTCAGAAAACATCATGGAGAAGCTTTTTCTTTGGAGCTTACGGCGAGAGTTCACCGATGAGACAAAAATCGAGCAACTAAAAATGTATGAAATGCTAGTAACCCAGTCTCATCAGCCTTTGCTACATCACAAGCCCATCTTGAAGCCTTTGATGATGTTGCTGAGTTCCTGCTCAGGAGCATCCACTCCAACAGTGGAAACAGAGTTGGTCGTCCTCTTGAACCAGCTCTGCTCTATAATAGCCAAAGATCCCTCCATTTTAGAACTGTTTTTCCACACCAGCGAGGACCAAGGAGCTGCCAATTTCCTCATATTTTCTCTGCTGATTCCCTTCATCCATCGAGAAGGAACAGTAGGCCAACAGGCCCGTGATGCACTGCTTTTCATAATGTCTCTGTCTGCAGAAAACAACGTTGTTGCAAACCACATAGCAGAAAACACCTATTTTTGCCCGGTAAGTTGTTCTTGGTTTGCTTGATCTTCAGTGCTAAACTGTCTGCCCTGTATTCTTCACATCCGTTTCTGTTATTTTTGATGAATATGTGTTGTAACACATTTGTTTCTGCTAACAGCTATTTCACAAATTGTAATGTTGTTTAAGCCAGCCCTACTGCCAAAAGCAGTCTTGTTCCTTGTTTCCATACCACTGTCTTGTGCTTTTGGGCCACCACAAATGTTTTTGCAGTCACGCAGTGAAGTGAATTGGGAAACTGAAGGAAGTTATAGCAGATCATGGTGGGAGGGAAACCTGTTCTGTCTCGGTGTGAGGTCCCTGTGAGATTCTGGAGGTGAAGGGAGCGAGAAATGGGAACAAGGTGTTCTGAGGCTGCTGTTTCTGGTGGCACTGCTAGCTTAGGTGGGCTGTGCTTGCCACACTGTAACATCAGCTCAACATGATCAAATGATAAGTGTGAAAATAATGTGAATGTTATGGAAATGTAATATTTTTGCAAGATAAAAGGGAGACTTGCTCTTTGTCACAGAATTGGACATTGCTATGGCCGTCTCGGGCAAATCACCATCTTGCTATGTTGTAGTCTGTTACCAAACCTGTTAATAGTGTTGCGTTGTTAGTTGTGGCAAATCAATCTTAATACGTGAATAGAAAACCTTTGCTGTTAAACAGATCATCTAATTTAACAAAGCTGCCCAACTGCAGTTTTAAAGCTAAAGCAGAATGGACATGACACCACCTGCTTCTTTATGCCTTATCACAAAAATCAGTTTGAGATCTGCAATGGATGGGTTTAAACCCCAATATCATTCTGTAGAAAAGGTGCTCTTGTGTGCCACTTTTTGGACTGATTCCTTTATCTTCTGCATGGCTTGCGTTTTAGTTTAATAAATGCCAGAAAAGGTGAAGTGGAGGGGAGCCTTACATAGCTGCTAAAGCAGAGAGCTTTAGAGCAGAGAACACTAGAATCCCTGCCATTAGTGCATGGCAGCTATTCCAGCCATAGGTTTACATTTTCTCTGAGATTGCTATGTCCTTTGAGCAGTAGGGCAGAGCCAGGTTTGCAGGCTGGAGGAGGCCTACAAGTTCCAAAACAAAACTTCTTAATGCTTTCCTTTTGTCAGTTGTAACTATTGCATCGAATTTCTTGTGCTGAGAAACTCTAGTTGACTTTGTTTAATAGATCCTGCTAAAGAATGTGAACTTGATTCTCAAACTGTCCCTGAGACAGATGCCATTATTGGATCCGTGCTATAACTTCCATAATTACATCTTCCAATTAATTAAAAAAAAAGCAGCCTTTTTACACTGAAGATAAAAGCCAGCTATATTAACCTTCAAACAGCAGGGAGCCATGATTGACAATCATTCTAATTAAGAAGGCTTCTTGTCAAAATGTGCTAAAATCAGACTTTTCTGAACAGTAATGAGAATGGCCTAAGTCTATGATAAAACTTTAATGCGATGCCATAGAATTAGCTCACTAGTACAACATCTTTTTTGAATTTGAGTGTGATGAGCTGACGGAACAGATTTTGTTCTGGTGGAAGGGTCTGTAGGTGTCAGTGGCATTGCTGTATATCACTCAAATCAGTGCAGATGTGGCCTCAGCTACTCTGCAGAACAGCTAGCACAGTCCTGCGCTGATAGGAGAGGCATTTGGGTGACACTGTGTTGGTGCTATCTCTGGTTCTTGGGCTGAGTTGGTTGGTAGCATATATGGTTTTCTTTACCATGCCCTATTGCATAGTATAGACACGCCCTGGGATGGGGTCTGGCTGTAAATGTCTGCTGCCTCATATACCCAAATCAGTGTTAGATCTGTGCCAAAGTGAACCTAAGGCTTTATTGATATTAGCTTTGTTTAGCAGCTTTTTAAAACTAGATTGTCCATGGTATTCAAAACTGTAGGTGAATAAACTATAAAGAAGGAAGGGGACAGGCTGCAGTAAGATACATCACTAACAAATGTTAACACAGAATGTGTAGACAAACTATGGGGCAAAATTTTGTGGGATTTTTCTGCCATATCATTTTTATCATGTTTTGACCTGAAAGTTTTCTGAATCTGATGAAGATGTCTGTTCAGCATTATAATAAGAAAACATTATAATAAGAAAACAGTGTTTCTGAAGAATTTTGAGCAGCATAACATCTCAAAGTCTTGCCATAAAACTTTGTGTTTGTAAACACCTCACAGCTTAGGAAAGCAAGTACTAAAGCAGGAGGAGGTATGGCTCTGCAATGTCTTTGGAAAGTTGAGGCTGCACAAAGATAGAAAGACTATGGATGTGGGAGGAAAGGGAATTGTTAAAGGAAAGGAACTGGCCAGATTGCAATTGATTATATATTAACAACATATTTTAATCATATAATGTGTCTAGAATTGCATATTACATAGTCAATGTCTTCTGTGAGTCAAGAGAAAGTAAATAAATCAAGGAGACCGATTTGCAAAGACATTCATGACTGGATGATGAAAAACTAACTGCTAGAGATGCTTGTAAAAATAGATGAGCACATAGAGTTGACTTGACAAATGATGGAAGAAGATTAAAAGGACACTGCTCTAGGTAAAACAAAAATTAAAACCAATCTTGCCCTTCTAGGGCGTGAACTCATTAATTTCTTTCACTTTCAGAGTTCTTCTTTCATTGATGTTTATCATTTTACTGATTAAAACTCTATAACGTAGTCTATATATGTGCATTATTTTGTATGCCCGCTTATAGAATGTGAAGAGTTCTGTTAGTAATTTCAAATGGCAATCCTGCTTATACCATATACTTGTATGATAATTTTCAAATGTTTTTTACCTAAGAGATGAAATTGCTTCTGGTGGCTACTCTCTCCCTCAGTGCTTTAGAAACATAATTTCACATAGTCATTTGTGTTGTATTTCATAGCAAAAATAAGAGCTTTTAAAACTTTACAGATTTTTAGCAGCTACATCTGTTACTTCTTAACTTCAGTAAGTCAGACAGACTAAAGAACCCTTCACTTCAAGATACTGACTGATTGTGAGTTCACCGCTCCTTTTAGTGGAGAGTAGTATGTTTTGCTCAAGGTCGGTTTCTTGTGCTTAAGGACTAAACTTCCATGTGAAGCAGAAATGTGGATAGTACACAGCTCTGAAAATCAGATTGCTTACAGAGAGGGTTGGTATGTGTTTATGAACAGCAATTAAGCAGACAATGGAAAATCAGGTGTGCATTAATTAACAGGTTACAGTGCAAAAGAAACTCAAGTTCTCCTTTCAGAATTTTTTCCTTCCTAGAAGCATCTGAAGCCTAGGTTTGTGAGTGTAAGTGTGTGTGGGGGTTACTTATAGGTAGTTCTATAGACCTAGTAAAGTCTTCCTAACTTTTTGCTTTGAGCTCTTCTACTGTGAGAGAGACAAAAAGCAAAAAAGATTCTGGTCATAGAAGAATGTGATTGTACAAATAAAGCTCTGCTCAATGGATTTAGCTTCTTAGTTTTTTAATATATCTCCAGCATCTTTTTTTTTATATATATCTATGTATATATGTGTATAAAAAAAGTAGAACAGTATGCTAAAGCAGTGAATTTTCCACAGTATTCCCCTCCTTAATATTTGGCTTAATTATGTATGCCAGTATAAATCCATCTTCAAAATTATGTGATTTAGGAGCGGAAAGCATTCAGAAAGACAGCCTTTGTCTGACTGGATGAGTTAGCAATTATAATTGGTTACACTTGCATATGATCAAAACCTGAATCCCCTTCCATGAACCCTTGGTCATTGACCTGCACATTGTCAACTATTTGTTTTCTGATAGATAAAACAGTTGTTTCATCTAAGCTTTGACTGTCTAACCCTGTAGATGCCAAGCAGCCCTTTGTAGAAAAAGGAAAAATTCTTACGAGAGTCTGCTGAATGAAAACTAAAAAGATTTTCATCAGATTGAGACTTAATGATGCCATTAAAATGAGGATCATCTTAAAAAAAACCCTGAAATTGTATAAAATCATGTCAGAAGGATGAGAGTTGTAAGTAATATTTAGAAAGTTTACAGCTTCAAATAACTTTAATAATTAGAAGCTTGGTCTGAATCTACCAATACTTTAGATATACTCAGAAAAAATTAAAAAACCTGTTTGGGAATACACTTTTTATATCATAACTAAAAATACAATCTTGTGTTTCAGTGATATAGTCTACATAAATCATCTGTAAGCCTTAATATCACTGGAAACAATGTCTGTAAAGTAACTTATTTCAGGCTTTTTTTATTTCTTCCCTTCCAAATAAATAAGAAAGGAAAATGAGAAATGATGAACAGTTAGAGGTAGGTTTTTTAGTGTGTGTGGTTTTTTGTGTTTGGTTGGGGTTTTTTAAGTGGATTCAGCTGAGTTCAAGTGCCTAGGAATGAAAGTCAACATATATGTGAACTACATGAGGCTGAACTTCAATTTTGTTCATGGGGGCACCTTCCTCCTCCATTTCTAATGTTTCCTATTTCTGAGTGAAATCACTTCATATAGGCATGTGAAAGCAGTAACATTCAAATCACCAAGAAAGGCAAGCTGTAGGTATGTGACAGTGATGGCTCCTTCTGGAAGGGACTGAAGGAAAGTGTAAAATGATTTTACAAGTATTTAAAAAGAAAATATAACTTCAGATTAAAAAAATAAGACAATCTGCTTTCCCCTTTCACTTTCTCCTAAGTACCAGCTCTTGAAAGATGGATATTATATGGAAGATTCTTTAAAATAGTCGTGTGTTTCTGCCACAGGACACTTTCAAAAGGAAATTAAATTAATCTGAACACTCATGTATACTAAAGCTAGTAAGAGAAACTATTTGTGGCATCGCGATTCAAGCAGATGGACAGTTGGAAAGTCAACATATTTCGCTTCTGTTTTTGAGGTGTTAGCAACAGGACTAAGTGGCCTCTATTCATCTTTGCCTACAAAGCTGGAAGAAAAAGGAGAAGAGTGGCACTGCCTGCTGAAAGATGACTGGCTGTTGTCACCAGCCCTTGTACAATTCATGAACTCCCTTGAATTTTGCAATGCTGTGATACAGGTAATGGAGCAGAGTTGGCTTATCCTTTTGAAGTAGTAGGTTGTTATACATTCTGTAGAGGTTTGTAAATTATAGAGTTTATTACCTTCTATAAATGGCATGGACTTTTTAAGTTACACTAAAATAAGTTGCTTATAAAGTGAATGCTTTGTGCCTTTCGTCCTGGTTAAAAGGATGAACTAATATGGTTTTAGTTTTCAGGTGACAAATGTTTCAAATGAAAACAGTAGAATTGTGCAGCAGCTTGATATTTCATTATGTAATTGGGAGAAGTTTCTGGGTTTTTTTAAAAAAAGGCATATTGCATTTTAATACCACTGTTGATACTAAAAGTAAATTGAATGCCTTTACATGTGGGGAAAATGTAGCCTTTATATATTTAAGCATTGAAAAACATTCTATCTTTGTCTAAGCTCTCATAACAGCGTACAAAAGCAAATAGTCTGTTTTGTCTGTTGGTGAGTACTGCATAAAGAAAGCTTTCCAGGCAGAATGTAGATATCTTCCTAGAAATATAAATTCATTTTAGATTGGCCTGTTTGGAATCCACTCTTTGTTTTTAATGATTATTTCTTGATTAGATTTTTTTCCCCCGGCTTTAATCCCCTCACTATTTTTTTTTTTCTTCCCTAAACTAAACATAAAATGAGATTTTTGTCTTTTTTACATTGTTTTTAAGGCTAGAAAACACTATAGAACCCTTGTCTGGTATTTATTAAACGTGATATAAATTCTACAGAAACTGTGGATTTATGTTTTACTTGAAGAAACAAGCTGAATAGGATTGAAAATTTAGTCACATTTACTGTTAAATAAAAGATATGTTTTAGTGAGAAGTGTGTGAAATACAGTAAAGCAACTGATTGACTATTAGAGCATTGAATAAGTGAAAATAATAGTAGCTGTCATTCTTTAAATGCAATATACAAGATTTTTAACATACATGTTTAAATGTGAATAGGAGACAATATTAATTTTGGTGTCTAAGCAGAATTTTTCTACAGATCTACATTTGCAGGAGGTCATTTATCTGACAACTATTTAAAAAAAATTGATACAAAGGTTACTGCAGACAAATTAAAGAACAACATGTTATTTTAAAACCGCTTTTCAAAGAAACTAAACATGCTTAAGGATCTTCAGCTGACATGTAGAAAGAGCAATTTCTGACTGCTGCTTGATTGCTTTTCTAATAGTCTTCAGCTGAATTGAAAGCTGAAGTTACTGCAGGAATTTTTGCTCTGTGCATGGAATGTTTTTTGTGGTGTGGCTTGTTCTGTGTTGACCCAAAAACTTTGGCCAGGGATTAAAGAGGAACAGTGTAGCCAAGACCTCTTGCCATTTACTACTTTTTCCCTGGAGCACAGCATAGGAAGGGCAACCCATTTTCTTCCCCTTTCCAAAGTAAGGGTTACAAATTAAAGGAAGTCTGGGAAGAATTGCAAGTGCGAGAATGTATTTGTGGCCACATGTGGGCTGTGACATTCCAGTCTCTATGTGAACTTCAAACAGAATATATTAACTTAGAATGCTTCTGAATGGATTTTTTTGTTGTTGTTTTTATCAAATTTCTTTTAAATGCATGAACTGATAATATGTTTTCTTTGTGAAAACAAAATGAATGCTTCATTATAAAAGTAGATTTTAGGCTTCTAATAAGAGTTTATTTTTTAAAGCTCCTAAGCAACCTATTGAATTAATAACGTAGGTTTTGCTTTCACTTCTGTTTGTTTTACAGTGGTTGGGAGAAGGCCATGAGAACAGTATATTCTTACTCCATAGCTAGGGCATGCTTTGGTTTACCTACTCTTGAACCATAGGGAAACAGCTGTTCTGCTTTTTCTTCTTGTAAGAGGACAAGTTAACAATGGCAAATCCACCTTCAAGTGACCCTGACAAGGTTGCAGGAGCTAAATTTAGAATCTCAAATCTTCCTTTGATGCATGGGTATACACACTTTTCTGTCCATCCATTCATCTTTGTCAGCATGCAGGGAGATTGAAAAGCCCTGTTCTCTAAATTTGGCAGGCTTACTGTAATTAAACAGAGTTTGTGTATTTCTTTGAAGAAGGAGAAATCTTTAAGAACCTGAATCATAGCAAATGCTGATGAGAAGGACAAATGAACATTTCTTGTTAAATGGGAAAGGGTTTTGGTAGTGGATAATAGGAGCCTGTGCCTTGTCTTGTTTTAAACCTCACTGGAACTGTTCTGTGTCTTTCTCTCCCCCACCCTCTCAGGTGGCACATCCCTTGATACGCAACCAGCTTGTGAATTACATTTACAATGGATTTTTGGTGCCGGTAATGGCTCCTGCGCTCCATAAGGTCAGTGGTGTATGCAAGCATGACACGAAATAATAACAGGCAAAAGTATTATGGATGAACTCTGTATAAAGATACTATTAAATGTACTGTCAGTAATGATTTCCATATAATTGAGTACATTTCTAGGCTAACTTTCCATCTTTTCATTCTGTACTTTCTATTTACATTATATGGATTGTTAAGCAAGATATAGGTATTTCTGAAAACGATTAAAATTCTTAAATGAAATGAAGAACCAAAATATTTTTGTTGCACTAGGCTGACATATCATCAAAAAAAGCAGTGACCTTTTAAACATTTCATCATGGCAGACATGTTTACATGAGGAATTTTTTTTTCCAAATGAATATTTTCCAAAAGGAAAAATGCCCACAAGGAAAATGTTCAGTCAAGAAATATTACACTAATTTCAGCAAAGTTGGTATTGTTTTGCACTTCCTTATTACATTTGGTAGAGCTATTTTCATGAAGTGGAGAAGAAATGGAGTTTGGTATCAATTTTCTAATGTATTAGGGTGCAATTTATGTTGCTTTGAAGAAAAAAAATCCATTTTTCTTTGAATTTTAGGCATTATCCTTTGCAAAATATGTCACGGATGTTGGTGAATTACTTAATTATTTTTTTGTTGTTGTTAGGCTGCAGGAAGCCACATTTCCAACTGTTGCAAAATATGTCAGTTAACAGTCTGCATTGCCCTGTAAAAACAACACCTTGTTTGAGGAGAAAAAGTAGAAATTGCTGAGAGTAAAAATCCACCAAAAACTACCAAAAGAGGACTAATAAATTACTTTTTGAAGGTCTACTAATTTTTACTAAGCCTGCCAAGCAGAAAACACTGCACCTGTTCCATTTTCTGAGAGGCCAGTGAAACACTGCACCCTGCTTTCTAGTCTAGGACTTGTCTTGGCAGTGCACGCAATTCTTTGTGGTAAGTAGTCACTTACCAAGAAAGTAATAAGCAGTATAGAATCTTCCTCAATGATTTGACAGACCTCAAATGTTTGGGAACTTGGCGAGGGCTGAAATAAAATTTGGCTGCAGTCCAGATCAAGGCTGTAGTCTGTCATTGAGATCACCTCCTTACCTAGGAGTAATTTTTTCTATTTCTGTATCTTGACATAATCCCTTACCCAGATTGGGAATTAGAATCAGAAGTGAAAAGCTAACCAGCTTCAGGTCAAGGTCATGGATAACAAGGGAGGTACCAGAATGTTGCTGTGGGATTCTGGTCTTAGTACTCTGAAGTATTTAGGACAAATTTTAGGTTGTTTTGAATGCTACCATGCTGCTGAATGCCATTCTTATTGGTCATTAAATCTACTAACCCCCTGTTGGGTTGATTATTTTCCTGTTGAATACTTAAATCATTTAAAGCATGCTGTTCAGATTTTTTTTTTTCCATGTGATGGAAATTTTGTTGAACATCATTTATATACTCTGAAATTGGGTGAAGTCATATTTCTCTTAAAAATGGAGATGTTGGCTGCTAACATATGAGTTTCAAGCCTAAATCTTTCCTGAACCCTGACATTCTGTTTGGTGCCTTGTTCTTCCAGCAATAAACCTTTCCTTGATTAGTGTTAAGTTTGACTTTTTCCTCTTTAAAAATTTATGTATGTGTATGAACTTCAAATGCATTTAATGGAGAAGATGGATTGCACCATCTAGTGGATCTGATACAAGGTGCTCTCATCTGTGAGACCAAAACTCCATAGCAAAAGGAAAAAAGTAAATAGACCTCTTCGGTCTTTCTGTGCTGTGCCCCACATTAATTTAACAAAAAATAAATATTTTATATCTTTGCTTTTGGGAGAGGTATCTATGCATAAGGACAGATAATTATGCAGTAACAGTTCCTTCATACGTTAAAATAATTTCTAGTTGCCATTGAAAACATTCTTGCTAAGTTGAAGAGTAGGCTTTGAAAACTGTATCACCCATTTGGGGACTTAAGTATTGTAATTAACCTTTACGTTAAGAAAAATTTGTGAAGGGCCAAAATAAGAGAAAGGTCAAATGCACCATGGTGTTTTTAAAACAGAAGTTCTTTCATTGAACACAATACTAAATGGAACTTGAATTTTCTTCTTTTAAATTCAATGAAGTTGGTTTGGTATCCTAAAGTCTACTTGTGGCTGAAAATTTTAGGTTTTATCCAGTCATTCTGTTCAAGTTGTTCTGACTTGTTCTGTCTTATGAGTTCAAATACAGTGAACAATAGAGCATGCTATAAATACCTGACGAGGAGGACAGGTCTGTGGAAGGTTAAAGGGAGGGGTGGTAAGAAGAGATGATAATTATTGGTCCATATTCCTAAGGTGTTCCTATAAATCTTATTTGTAGAATTTAACTGATCTGGAATAGCTGTTTCTGATAACTCTTGGTGATAGACATGGAAGGAAGGGAGTCCAGACCTCATGTGGCATACAAGCCTTAACATCCCATATCCAATCTGGCACCCGTGGTTCTACCTAATAGAAAAATCAGAAGGGAGATGAGCTTCTGGCTCTGCTCTTGAATGACTGTTGGGTAGACATACAACTTCAAAACTGTTCTCTCTACTATATTCTAGTTTTTCTTCAAGAAGTAACGTTTTGAGGGAAAAATTGCTCTGCAGCAAGACAGACTTGCGTTTATTGTTTTTGCAAAGACAGCTGCAATCAAGAATAGAGGCATCTAGGAAAGAAGTCTTCAATCTGTTCTGTTCTCAATATGATAGAACTCGATTTCTGTTTTAAAACAACAGCAGCAACATAAACAGATCCTGTTAATGTGACTTCCTGTCTGATCACCAAATCAAATTTTGTTGGTTCAAGTATATAAAATAAAATAAGCTCTACAAGCACTATTAGATAAATAATAGTCTTATTAGCTTTTAATCCCTTATGGAGTAACAGCAATATCAGTTTGCTTTTGCAACTGATGTATTCAAATATGAGCAAAATGTCTGGTACAAGGAGGGTTACTCAGTTTTGGATTAAAGCTAAGCCTATATTGTAGATGATAGGAGCTGGCCATTTTCTTCCTTCTTCGTGTCTCTTCACAGAATCACAGAATGGCTGAGGTTGGCAGGCACCTCTGAAGATTGTTCTGTCCAACCCTCCTGCCTAGAGCAGGGTCAGCTAGAACAGGTTGCTCAGGGACACATCCAGTTGGATGTTGAATATCTCCAAAGCTGGAGATGGCTCAACCTCTCTGGGCAACGCTGTTCCAGTGTCTGACTACCTGTACAGTAGAAAAGTGTGTGTGGTCTTCACATTTTTTTCCTGATGTCCAGCTGCAATTTCGTGGATTTCAGTTTTTGCTGCTTTTCCTTTCACTGGACACCATTGACAAGAGTTTGGCTCCATTGTCTTTACTCCTTCCCAGCAGGTATTTGCAAACATGGATAAGATTCTGCCTCAGCCTTCTCTTCTCCAGGTTTAACATTCACAGCTTTCTCAGCCTCTGAGAGATGGTCCCATCCCAAAATCATCTTTGTGGTCTTTTGCTGGACTTGCTCCAGTATGTCAGTGTGTCTTTTGAACTGGGGAGCCCAGCACTGTAGATGTGTCTTACCAGTATTGAGTGAAGAGGAAGGATGCCTCCCACTAACCTGCTAGCAATACTCTTAATGTAGCCCAGGAGGCTACAAGGGCGTGTTGTTGGATCATGGCCAATTTTTTGTCCACAAGGACCTACAGGTTCTTGCTTCAAATCTGTTTTCCAGCCAGTCAGTCCCCAGTGTGTACTTGTGCCTGTGGTTATTCTTCCCCAGGTGCAGGGCTTTGCATTTGTGTTACTGAACTTCATGAAGTTCCTGTTTGCCTCTTAGTTCAGACTGTCAAGACCCCTCTGAATGGCAGCACAGCCATCCAGCCTCCCAGTTTTGAAACATCTACAAACTTGCATGAGGGTGTGCTCCATCTCATCATCTAGGTCATTCATGAAGATACTAAACAGTATTGGCCCCAGTGTAGACCACACATCACTGGCCTCTAGCTGGACTTTGCATTGTTGATCACAATCCTTTGGAGCCCAGCAGTTCAAACAGTTTTTTGATCCACCTCACTGTCCACTCATCCAGTGTGTTCTTCATAATTTTGTCTATGAGGATGTTGTGCGGGAGACAGTCTCAAAAGCCTTGCAAGATAAATAATATAAACTGCTCTCCATTTATCCATTAAGCCAGTCATCTTATTGTAGAAGGTCATCAGGTTGGTCTGGCTTGATTTCCCTTCTGTAAATCCACGCTGACTACTCCCAGTCACTATCTTCTCCTTAATATGTTTGGAAATGGCCTCCAGGAGATTTTACTCCATCCCCTTCCCAAGGATTGATCTGAGGCTGACCAGTCTGTAGTTCCCCAGATCATCCTGGAGTGACATTTGCTTACTTCTGGTCCTCAGGAGCCTCCTCTGGCAGCCCCAACCTTTCAAAAACCAAGACTGGCCTCAAGAGTCAGGGATGCAACCTATCAGGCCCTATGGACTCATGTCTGTCCAGTTTGTTTAAGTGTTCCCTAACCTCATCCCCTTCCTCTAAGACTTTTATTCTCATCTTAGGGACCTGGGATTACAAAAGACAAATCTTGCCAGTAAAGACCAAGGTGAGGAAAGCATTGAGTATTGTGGCTTTTCCAATATATTTTGTCACCAGGCCTCCTCCTTCCCCATTCAGCAGCAGGCATGCTTTTTTCATGGTCTTCTATTTGCTTTTGAAGCCCTTCTTCAACTCCAGCTGGGCTTTGGCTTTTCTAATCCTTTCCCTGCACACTTAGGCAATTTTTCCATATTCCTCCTGAGTTACCTGTCCCTGCTTCCATCTCTTCCTTTTTATGTTTCAGTTTTGTTAGAAGGTCTGCATGGATGAACTAGGAGATTCTGTCTCCTTTCCTTGACTTCTTTCTCTTTTCCCCACTTAAAAAACATCGGACTATCAAAGAAGACTTTTGATAAGAGTTTCAGTAAGTAGTATTTCAGTAAAAGTAGTTCAGAATTTCAGTATGTGGTCCAAAGCT